TCTCACCATTATATCCTAAGAAATGCAATACAACAACTACTTAGATAACATTTGCATCGAATTAGATATTGTAAACAATCTAGAGATGATTAAAGTGTATGTGAGGGTATGCATAGATTATACACAAATACCGTGTCCATTTTAGGTAAGAGATTTGGGCATTCATGGATTATGGTACTCAAAGGGGGTCCTGGACAATCCCAGGTATGACTATAAGTGTTAAAGCAGGAAAGAGGAGCAGGAACGGGGAGGGATACATTGTCCTCAGAATGTCCTCTGAGGGCAGGGACACTGAGAAATGGCATTTGAGGATAGTAAAGGGGTAAGGGTTAAGACTAGAGTTATCCCTGCTAATACCCAGGGAGGGCATGGCAGGCACAGAGCCTAGGCTCTGTGGAGTGTCTCTCAGGACAGGTGCATGTGCATGTATGGAGATGAGGTGTCTCTGATTCCCAGGTGTATGAGCAGGTATAGAGATAGAGTATCTCACAGCCCACATACATGTGCATGTGCAAGTGTGGAGATGGGGTGTCTCGCAGCCCAGGTGCCTGTGACAAGCAGACTCCCCTGCAGCTTTTACCTCATCCAGCTGTCCAGCTGGGAGGCTCCTGGTTACACTGCATGGTGCTACTCTGTGAAATCATGGTGACTGCCAGGCTGGAGAGGGGTAGATTTACTCTCAATACCATAACTACTTTGGAGAAATTACCAAGGTTATTAAGCCTGTGTTTAGAAATAGTGGCAGTGTCATGAAAGGTGATGTGCTCAAGTCCTTCTTGGAATAAAGCAAACTCATGGGCTGGGGATTTAGCTCAGTGGTTCCACCACCTGCCTCGAAAGCGCAAGGTCTGGAGTTTGATCCCCTGTACCAAAAACAAAACAAAAATAAAGCAAACTCAGATTCCTAAGCAGGCTGTACCTCTGACCTCTGGTGTGGCCTTGGGCAACTGCTGCAACTTGGGCAGGGTCAACAGGCTGCCTGTGAACAGAGAAAATGCCAGGAGTAAATGCAGTTGTTCAGACAGAGCATTTCCTGGGCAGCGATATGGCTACTTGGGAGAATCCTGAGGAGGGCGGGAGGTGGGAATCATAACCAGCCCAGAAGAGGAGGGTAGGTTTGCATCAGCTCAGCAAGGGAAGTGAAAGAGACAGAGAGTGCAGAGGGCCTTCAGCTTTGGAAACTAACTGAGTGAGAGCTTTCAAGGAAGGATCTGCCAGCACAGCTCAAGCATCTCTACATACATCTATCTGTACTGGTAGACAGCAGAGCACTGAATGAGAGTGGAGACAGAGCAGGTCTGGGAGAGGCCCAGGAGCCAGGACCAATCCCTAGGGTGCACCTGTAAAAGGTTTCCCTATAAAGGTCAGGATCTTAGACAACAATGGAAGCAAGGGCTGCTGGGACAACCCAAAACAGCCAGACCTCGGGGGAGGACAGGGAAGTCACAGCCAGTAAAAACAGCGAGAGACAGCTGTGGAAGTGAGCAGGTGGGCTCCACAGAGCAGAGGGAAGAAGAGATTCCAGTAGGAGAAGATGACTGCCAAAGCTAGGTGCTGGATTTGATCAGCACGCTCTCTCGAGGGGACAGCTCTCGAAAAACCAGGGTCTGGTGGCCCTGGGGGCGAGGCAGGTGCACGGCCTGCCCTGTCAGTGCAGGCCAGTCAGCAAGAGGGTGGCTGCATCTGCCTGGCACCAGGCTAATGTGGGCCTACGGGTGGAGGTGCCATACTCATTCCTCCCTCCTGTGCCCCCCTGCCCTGAGGTGGACCCTCTAGTCATCCTTCAGGACCTCTGCAGAGGTTGTCGAGGAAAGCTCTGCACCTCTGTTCCAGCATCTTCACCCTTCATCTACCCCATGTAGCCTGTGGTCCTTTCATTTCTCTGTGGCTGTGGTCGGGGGTTTATTTCCTTCCAGTTTGAGAGTGCCTCAGAGGACATCAGCCCAGGATTGTGCACTGCACCTGGAGGGTTTGGAGTGAATGAATGAATGAATCAATCAATGAATCAGTGAATGTCATGCTAGGTGGGCAAGGGCATGTTTCCCCTCCTGGATTGCGGGTTGGCTCTGGACCTGTTCCCCAGACATCTCCCCAACCCCACTTTGTACTGCAGCATTGGCTTGTCAGACCATGCGGCTTAAAACCTGGGTTACATATTTACAGAAGCAAAGAAATTGATTAAAGGAAATGCTGTGGACAGGAGCGGTGGTTATTCCAATACCATGTGACAGAGCTTCTAGGGAGAAGTCTGTGCAGCTAGCCAAAAGCCTGGAAAAGAGGGGCACAGAGGAGAGGGTGCAGGGCCAGTGGAGACCCACAGGTGCAGAAGAGATCAGGTATCTGCCATTCTTCAGGCTAGCTGTAGCCCCCCACTGGGGGACAGCGCACCCTTTCCCCATGAATTGGCTTCCTGCTTCCTGCATTTGGGGGCAGTAGTGGGGGTGGGGGCAGTCCAGGCTCTGAGGCTTTGTCTACCGGGTTGAGGGACCTATAGGCCAGTCAGGTGGTCAGACACTCAGCTGGTTATCACACAAGTTGCTAGGCTTTGGTCCTGTGCCAGAGAGCTCAACCTTCCTGGGGCAACCACACCTGGAAGAAGGCATCTCCAGACACCAACCAGTTCCAGCCTGAGGGCTCAGCTGCTCTCTGGAGAGTCAGGCCAAGCTGATGAATCCCTGAGATGCCATTGAGCTCTTCCTATGCACTCGCCCACACTGCACAGAATGCTGTGGGGCTGCAGGACAAGCAGGTGTGTTGCTGGTGGGATGAGCCAGCTGCAACAGACCATGCTGCAACAGAAGACCAGAACCATGCATGTGGCCTGGAATGTTCCATGGCTTTGGTCCCTCATGAGGAGCCCAGAGAGGGCTAAGCAAACATCTATGAGGGTCAGAAGTTCTAAAGAGGCTTTGCAGATTGCCTGTGAAGAGGGGAAAGAATTTGAGAGTAGGTGTGGAGGCTTGGGCCCACAGGGAGAATCCTCCCTCCAAGCCGTCTTCTGCATCCAAGCTAGAAATTTCAAGTTGGAAATCATGGGCAGTTAAAGAATCAGAAGCCAGGCACTGGCAACTTAATTTTACCATTGATTCCAAACCCACTAAAGGAGTTTAAGAGATGAGCAAATGGATGCCAAGAGAAGAAAGCTCATAAGCAAAGGAACATACCTCATCAGTTCCCTCTCCCTCATAGTTTCCTGTTCTTGTCATGTACATCATTTCCATGTCTCCAGGGCCTGACATAATCCCCAGCCTTGGAGAAAGATCTGCCAGTGTGGGCAGAATCCAGCCCTGCACCGCCCTGGCCAGCTCGAGATCAGGGAGGAATAGAGTCAGGGGAAGGGCAGAAAGCCTCCTCATGCCATTGGGTCCCATCAGGCACAACCCCGCCCTGCCCCACAGGCAAGGCTCACCTCTAAGTTCCTGTCCGCCCTGGCAAGGCTACAGAGCTGATGGGGCAGAGATGCTGGACACTGGACATGAATGGCTACCTTTCCAGGGCTGTGGAAAGATTTTGGGGGAGAGCAAGGCTTTCGGTGAGGGGAAGAGGTTCAGGGAGCCCCAGGGATCTTTAGATCTCCAGCCACTCCTCCCACTCAGGGCAGCATGTTCAGTGAGCAGAAGGAGCCAGCAGAAGTCTCACACAGAACAACTGCCTGTGCAAAGGCATGTGATTAACCCAGAAACAAGGTGAGCAGGAACCCCTGCTAAATTACAGGGTGGAAAGATTCAAATTATGTTACTCTGTGTTGGTGGCGATGGAGAAAGTGTGGGTGACATGCCGTTTTTGGAGGGCAGCTTACAGCGGCACCTACAGAGCCAGTGACAATAGAAAGATTCACCCTTGGGCCAGGGATTTAGCTCAGTGGTTCCGGCACCTGCCTCAAAAGCGCAAGGTCCCAAGTTTGATCCCCAGTGCCAAAAAAAAGAAAAAGAAAAGAAAGGTTCACCCCTTCTGCCCAGGGAGCTCACTGTAGGCAGCGGCTCCCAGGAACAAATTCCACACAGAGATGTTCACTGCACCATTTCCATTTTCCCACAGTCATCACCGCCATAGTTACCTATCATTTTGGATCAGAACTTGAAGGATGTGTAGAAGCTCAAAGCCAAGGATCAAATGGGAGAGGAGATGGAAGAAACATCCATCTAGAAGGACAGAGTGGGTGGGGTGCAGGCAAGCTTGGAGAACTTCAGTCACTTTAAAAAGGAAAGAGCTTGTACCTGCACACACACACACATGCATGCACACAGACTCACAGGTATGGCAAAAGGGGCCATACATTCCAATCAGCAGCCAGGATCTGTGCTCTAAGAACTCCAAGTCTGATGGCATTTTGACTCAAAATTGTTCCTCCAAAGTCCAGGGTGGCCTCGCCTAGTTGACCATAGCAGCAGCATCCTAATACTGACACAAGAGGAGAAGAACGTCCTTGGGGATGGAGGAGACAGATGCATGAGGACGGGTGGAATGGAGGGGATGAGAATTCAGTCATCAAAGTGACTTGTGGTGGGCAGTGCTCCATTGCAGAGTGCTGGCCAGTGCAGTCAGTGGGGGATAAGGGACCCAGCTGGGCTCAAGGGCACTCAGAAGGCCCTGAGATAGCACAAGACCTCTTGACTCTGCCAGGGAGCCACCAGCAAATCACACCACGTCGCTGAGGCAGGATGGAACCAGGGAAGCTGCAGGGAGGTGGTGGAGTTTGACTCCTCCCGAGGAGGGGCTTCCCTGGAAGGTTACATGCATGCCTGGGGGCATGGATGAGTAAACCTGGAGAATGCAAGAACTTGGGACCCTGGGGACAGCAGAAGCATGATGCCATAGGTGGTCCACCTCCCCCAGGTGGTAACTATGGGCTGGTGCTACTCAGGGGTCAGGGGTCCAGTGTGCTCACATACTGCTGGCCCAGGCTCCCAAGACTAGGTGCCAGGGCGGCTGGGATGCCAGAACAGGGTGGGGACTGGCCACGGGCATGCCAGTCTCACAATGCGTGTTCTCATTTCCAGCCCGCTCCAAGAGCCTGGTGATGGCAGAGCAGACCCGGGGCACCAGGCAGCCGCTGGGCCTCCGTAGGCCGGGCCCAGTGCTGAAGGCCGGCTGGCTTCGGAAGCAGCGGGGCATCATGAAGAACTGGCAGCAGCGCTGGTTCGTGTTGTGCGGGGATCAGCTGTTCTACTACAAGGACAAAGATGAGACCAAGCCCCAGGTGAAGAGTGCCTGTCCTGTGTCCCATGGGTGTCATGCCAGGGCTCAAGGGAAGGTTCACTATGCCCTGGTGGGGGGAGGCACAGAGACCTCAGCACCCACGTTTTGTTCTTATCCCCCAAGATCCTGGCATCACAGCTTATTATACGGAAACATATCCACAGCTCCTGTGAGGAGACTGTTTCTGTGACTTGGATGGAGGGCTCACTCAGTTTAAGGATAGCGCTCCCCACTCCCCCATGTCCTTTCCAGACCATTTCCTTACTCCCATCACCCAGGAAACTGGGTACAGGACAAATCTAACCTCACAGGCTGACTTGGAGCCTTGTGTCCAGTGCCTCTGGCTTGCAGTGCTGGGGACCTCCCTCAGGGGCACAGGGTGTCTGCCCTTTCCACCCAAACTGCTGAGTTCACCACTTAGTGTCCTCCACCGCTAGAGGACCCATCACAGCTGGACTGTGTGACACTGTGACCAAGAGCTCTGCCTGCTACCATCCAAGACATCGGGGCTGAGGGAATAGGGCAACCTCTTCCTTGAGACAGGGAACAGGGGTCTGGCATCCGTAGATTCAACCACTTTGGATCAAAAGTATTTAAGAAGAAATATTGTATCACTAGTGAATGTGGGCAGACTGTTTTCTTGTCATTCTCCCTTAAGCAACATAGTCTAACTTTGTTTATAAACCCACCAGGTATTATAAACGATTAGGGATGACAGAAAGTATCCAGGAGGTTAGAAGCAAGTGCTGCACCATTTTATATAAGGGACTTGAGCAGCCATGGACCTTGGTACTCACAGGGGTCCCAGGACCGATTCCTGCAGATGGCAAGGGACGTCTGCTCTCATCCCTTAAGGTACATTAAAGGGCATGTTCCAAAAGGTGCTCCTGGTCAGAGGTCACATCTGTGCACATCCCAGCAGCTCCCACAGTGCAGGGCTGGGAGAGATTCAGAGGCTTCTGGGTGAGGGACAGAAGGAGGCCAAGTTCACAGTGAGAAAGTGGCTCTCTGACTCCTTTCATCTTGCTGAGTATGCCATGGATGGAGTGTTGCTGTGGATGAGCGAGTCTTTGCTCTTCCCCAATACTTTCTGTCCTCCCTTTAAGAGAAAAACAGGTTTGGTTGGAGGGAACAGGCCTATTTCACAGCCTGCAGTGGGAGCTGGAATCACGAGAGTTAATAACTCTGCCTTTGTGGTATTTATTCCAGTGGTTGCCCCTGTTTATGGGAAGTGATTCAGGTTTCTGCTCACAGTGGTCCTATCCGGCTTGCCTTTCTAAAGTATATCTGCTTTCAAAACCAGATTTAGGGGCAGGGGATGTAGCTCAGTGGTTTCACCGCCTGCTGAGCAAGCACAAGGACCTGAGTTCGATCCCCGGTACCAAAAAAAAACAAAACAAAACAGTGTTACATTGCAGTATGAGTGGGCCTAATGGTACTGAACCAAACTATACACTTAAAAAATGGATAGTGTGGTGAGCTGGGCACAGTGGTGTAAACCTGTCATCCCAGCACTCTGGGAGGCTGAGGCAGGAGGATCAAAAATTCAAGCCCAGCCTGGGGAATTTAAGGATTTAGTGAGATCCTGTCTCAAAATAACGAGGGCTGGAGATATAGCTCAGTGCATAGGCCCTGGGTTCAAACTTTGTGTTATATAGATTTTGCCACAATACAAATTAATAAATCAAGGAAAACTTTCAAATAAATAATAGCATACATGAAAGATGGACAGAACAAAAATCATGTGATTGAACCTAAGATTAAGAAGATTAAAGTGGATCTTAAGAAGACTGGGAAACCCTGATCTTGTCCAGTCCTGCCTCCTGAAAAAGAAAAACCATGCCCAGATCAGTAAGAGGGAGAGATAGGAGCTTTGGAACCTGATAGATTTGAATGTGTCAAAATTACATCTCACAAGCTACCTGTACGTATGACTTGGGATGCTAAAATTAATTTTTTTAACTTTAGGTTTTATTTGTAAAACGAGACAATATCAGCTACATGCTGGAAATTAAATTGCATAATTTGCACATAACTGAGGGCTAGTCGAACACACTGGGTGCTTGACCTGAGCTCCCGAGGCCCCCGGCCCTGCCTGTGCCTCCAAATCCACACCGTTTTCCTTGTGGCCTCTTTGGCCCTTCATCCATGGCTTGGCTTTCTGGGCTGACTGGTGATAGGTCACTCTGATGCCCGTGACCAAAACCGCAAGGATCCCCAGCCTTTCAGAGCTGTGCCTGGGGCAGCTGCAGCCCTCAGACCCACCCCAGGCATTGGCAGCCCAAGGGCACGTTGATCTGGGAAAGGAGCAGGCCTCGCCCAGCAGGCTAGTCTTGGAATCCTTCAGGCCTGGATGGCACTGCCAAAGCCTGGGGTGACGTTAGGCCCCCCAAGACCCCCTCCGCCTGCAGAGTGGTACTCCAGAGGCAGCCCCTTGCCCCAGTTCCCAATCTCAAAGCAACAATGGCTTCAACTGGACTCATTCAGCCTCCACAGTATATCACAAACTGCTGGCACAAGTGCCCCCACAAATTTCTACTTAATTGCATGAACTCCATGTAATAGACTAATTCTCAGTGTCTGCTTCCTGGAAAAATATGCCCTGCTCACTGTCCCAGTGACAGCATGGCCTGGCGGTCAGAGCCTTCCGGTCAGACAGCCGCAGCAGCTGCTGTCACTGTCAGGAAGAGGGACAGCCGGCGGCCATGACGCTGCCCAGACCTGGAAGTCATAAGCATCACTTACCCCACGTCCCTTGTTCTAGACCAAAGCTTTTGCTTTTCTCCGTCTCTCTCACAGGGGTCATGGGATCAGGCCTGGCAGAGAGTACAGTCACACGCAGAAGTGGCTGGCACAAGTGCAGACATAAAGATCTGAAACCATGGGCCGAGGATGTAGCTCAGCAGCACCACGCCTGCCTGGCAAGTGCAAGGTCCTGAGTCTGATCCCCGGTACCACAACAAAAAGAAAAGAAAAAAAGATCTAAAAGCATGACCTCTTCCCCCTGTGTCCCCCAGAACTTGTCCTTATGTTTCCAGCAGATGGTTTCATATTAAAGATCCCACGATTTGTCATCTTAGTAGCTTTAGCTTCTGCGCAAAATGTTTGCTCCAGCCATGGGAACTCCCACCACCCCACCAAGTGCTTTGCTGATTAGCCTGGCCTGGCTCAAAGGCTCACTTTAATCATCTCAGTCCTTGTGGGTTTCTTGGCTCAGAATTAAAATGGGAAGTATAACTTCCAAAACGTAAGACTGCAAAAAATGTAACAAATTGAATGTGATCAACCCAACAAATGGTAAAAAAAAAAAAAAAAAGCGGGGGGGGGGGAGAATTAAAAAACAAGAGAGAAATGCAAAGAGAAAACAAACAGAGAAGATGGCAAGCGTAGCTGTCATAACAAATGTGGTCTAGATGTGGCAGTGCACCCTTGTAATGCCAGTCCTTCAGGAAGCTGAGGCAGAAGGATTGCAAGTTTGAGCTCAGCCTGGGGATCTTAGCAATTAGCCAGACTCAAAATAAAAAACAAAACAAAATAAAAATAAAAAACAAAAGGGCTGGGTATGTAGCTCAGTGTGAAAGCCCTGGGTTCAGACCCTAGTACAAAAGAAAAAAAGAGTTGGGCCAGGGATGTAGCTCATTAGTGCTGTGCCGCCTGGCAAGCGCGAAGTCCTGAGTTCGATCCCCGGTACCACCAAAAAAAAAAAATGAGTTATCTATTTCTTAAAAGATTGGATGTAAATAAGAGGGGAAAAGAGACAAAACTGTTGAAAAGCCAGGAATGAACAAGGGATAGACCAGTTAATGTGAGCAAAAAGAAAGCAGACTGAGCAACATCCAATAAAATAGGATTCAAGGTGATTCTAACCAAAAATGATGCAGAACTATAGCTCTTCAGAAAGATAACAATCTGCTGAGAAAACAGCAGCCATGAGCTTTTATGCTTCTAATGACACAGCTTTGAAGAATGTACAGATACTCAACCCCCATCCCTTGTTAGTTTTGTTAGTTTTGAAAGGAGCTGCTTTGCTAGGCTAAGGATCAACCCCAGGGCCTTACACATGCTAAGCAAGTACGCTACGACTGAGTCACAGCACGACACCTCTCTTTTTCTCCCCCAAAGCAAATATCTTTCAAAAAATGAAATCATAGGGTACATTCACTGACAACAGAATAAAAGAAAAATAGACAGAATTACGAACAAAATGATATCCAGGAAGGGGGTGTATGCAAGAGAAACCAAGGGCTAGGTGTGTGGAACCCAAATGCACACATGTTACATGTTTCCTTCCTAGTCAGCGAGAAAATCAAAATTCAGATTGAAGCTCACAGGTAGGGATAACAGATTTACTTTCTTTGTAATTTTCAGTTTCATTAGTATGTGTTTGCAGTACATAATGACTTTATTCATCGTGGGGAGTTGGTGCATGTACATAACACAGCTTAATTCTTTTTATGCCCTTTTCCTTTCCCTCCATCTCTTGGCTCCCTTCCTATTTGCAAGAGATCTATGTCCCTGTTTTCAGTTGTCTGTCTTTTATTTTGCCCTTTAAAGATCACATGTAGCTCTTCCACATCCGCCAGCTTCAAGAAATGGCACTAAAAGGATGTTTTTGAAGGTGTAAACACACCTAGACAGAAAAAACAGGAGTGGCAGCAGCCTTCTGGGTGCTGGAAAGGAGAAGGGCAAGATTTATTCAGCTGACTGAGAGCACTGAGCTCCAAGCCAGGCCTGAGGAGCACACAGAAGCTGCCAGGTTGGCAAAAAGAGCTGCCCAGAGACCCAGGAGTTGGTAAGACCAGAGTGCTCTGGAAGTAACAAGAGAACCAGTTGAAAGTCAATTTAAAAGCAATTCAATCTCAAATATTCTAAATAACCTTGTGCACGGCAGTGACTCCCTCACACACACACACACACACACACACACACACACAACACTCAGACATAACAATGGATTCAGTCCCTGTGAAGCATAAGAGAGAAACATTTCAGACTAAGGAC